AACATTGTATTATATTTTGAAATTAAACATTGTATTATATTTTGAAATTAAACATTGTATTATATTTTGAAATTAAACATTGTATTATATTTTGAAATTATATTATATTTTTAGTTGAAAGTAAAGGCACCTATGACACTCTTCGAGCCAGCACAAAATATTGTTGATAATATCCTAGCTGAGCATGTGGATAACAGAGAACCAGAGGCATCCAGACCCATTTATTCGAACCTGCTTCGATATTGTAATCGGTTCCAACAGATCTTGATTTTGAGGTACAGAATAAGTACAAAAAGACATATTATGTAAATATTACCATCAGTTTTCATAGTAACTGAATAATGACATCAGTATAATAAGAAATATTTCAACTTTGGAATTTATATACCAGTCATTAAATAAGCACCAACCAGCTACTAAAAAGATGTGGGGGGATATATGGACCGAACTGAAGGACAGACTTACGTAATAAATGACTGACTGAACGACAAACTGACAGACTAAATTACTAAATGACTGGCCTAATAAAATGTATTAGTTGATGATATTGTTGAGGTTATAATAAAATGTATTATTTAATAAATTGTTGATGTAATAAATTCATACATAAATGTATTATTTAATAAATTGTTGATGTAATAAATTCATACATAAATGTATTATTTAATAAATTGTTGATGTGATAAATTCATACATAAATGTATTATTTAATAAATTGTTGATGTGATAAATTCATACATAAATGTATAATTTAATAAATTGTTGATGTAATAAATTCATATATTAGTGATTATTTGTGGTATTTGGAATGAGTCGGGTGTTTTAAAAGTTGGGATGAATTGTCTTTTGACTATACACCAAGTTTCATCAATCTCACTTAATTAGAACTAAAGTTATCGTGTCCCAAAGCATCAACCAATCAAATTGCTTATCTCTGCTTACCCTAAGCGGAAAATGCTCATCTTCGAACTCCATCAAGGCATTGACCTAATCAACACACACCAAGTTTGAACATTCTAGCTCGAATTAGGAAGAGAGTTATCGTGCCCCAAAGTATCAACCAATCAAATTGCTTATCTCTGCTTACCCTAAGCGGAAAATGCTCATCTTCGAACTCCATCAAGGCATTGACCTAATAAACACATACACCAAGTTTGAACATTCTAGCTCAATTAAAAGTTATCGTGTCCCAAAGCATCAACCAATCAAATTGCTTATCTCTGCTTACCCTAAGCGGAAAATGCTCATCTTCGAACTCCATCAAGGCATTGACCCAATCAACACATACACCAAGTTTGAACATTCTAGCCCAATTAGGAAGAGAGTTATCGTGTCCCAAAGCATCAACCAATCAAATTGCTTATCTCTGCTTACCCTAAGCGGAAAATGCTCATCTTCGAACTCCATCAAGGCATTGACCTAATAAACACATACACCAAGTTTGAACATTCTAGCTCAATTAGGAAGAGAGTTATTGTGTCCCAAAAAGTGTGACGGACAGACAGACGGACAGACAGACGGACGAACCCATTTTAATAGTCCCCTGCTTTCTTCGAAAGGCGGGGGACAATAACTCTCCAAAATATTTGTCAATTTCTATAAGACAGGCAAACACAAATTTCCAGCAAGTAAAAAATGAAAATTTCCATGGATGTATCAAATAATGGGTAGCAACAAAATACAAATGTACAAAGGAAAGTTCATGAAAAATTTAACAATAATAAAATTATCCATTCAAATTCTTGTACATGTAACATTTACATTATAATATTTAAATGAATTTTTTATAGTATAACAATAACATTCAGAATCTATTCTACAAAAATAAAATCAGTGTGTTACAATAGTATTACCCTCAAATTTTTTTCTAAAATCTTACCAAGGTATTATAATATTTACCTCAAATCTATTATTTAAAACATCAACAACATAAAATAAAACTATCACCTTATCAGTAAATTATAACAGTAAAACATGATCTAATGAAATCATGAAAAATTTTTGAGATTAACGAATTTGCATTCTATTAAATGTTTAAATGAACAATTTAAAATCTAACAATTATTGAACCCCAAAAGTATCATGACTTTAAAACAAGAACAGCATCAATGCAGAATTCCTATTATTGTACCTTGAATGTACAGCTTGTTTCAATGATTAGTTTAATCTCTGTTTGAAAATGTATAAAAAATTTTGCACAATAACTCTGCCTAAGTATGTACATTCCTTAGTGAGAATGGCATAAATTGATTCAGTCTCGTTGATAAAAATTTAGATGGAACTCGACTACTGACAAAGTTAATGTACCAGTCCCAAAATGAAATGTAAAGATGAGAGTTGCACATTTTTAATGTTTATGCAACGCAGCCGCATATTTAGAGACAAAATGAACGGAGGATAATTAAACAAATATACCAAATTGTGAATGGACAAACTAAATGACCAACAGATTTTTCCATTAAAGTAAACGGACATCTTATCAAAAGTACAATAAGAAGATCAAGTTTAATTAAGAAAATTCATTACAAAGATTTTACAAATGTACCAAATTGTGGATGGACAAACTAGATGACTAACAGATATTTCCATCAAAGTAAACTGACATCTAATCAAAAGTAAAATAAGATCAAGTTTAATTAAGAAGATTCATTAAAAAGATTTCTTGCAGTGTGTTTAAAGCCTCATTTTCAAAGTACCACTCACAAAAGGGCCATGGCTCGGTCCCTTATCCCCAATTTTATCCACAATATGTGCTGCTTGCAACGATACATATCACAGTATTTCTTCTTGGACGTGTTTCCAGTTCTGTAAGAAATGTCAACAAAACAATGGCGACACACTGCCACATTATTAGTCACTGCTTTTCCATCTGCATGTCCGTGATTTGTGGTTCGGCGTAGGGGAATGTACTATCAGTGGGACAAGTTTCAATGCAGAAAGCCATCCTTTTTCCTTGTCGCATGAACTACAGGGGAGTACTCTACATGATAGCTGAGCATCGGAAGAAAACGGACAGTTAAAATATCTGTACCATGTTAACCGAACCGTGAACGGAATTTACACTACTGTGCAGGAGTTTGGGACTAGAATCACCGGACACCGCGGAAAAACACTGTATTTCACGGTGGAATCTTGGAGAATCGCTAGCGAAACGGCAGCTAGCCAAATCACCGCGAAATCGGGTGTTTCACGGTGAATTATGGTGTTTCGCGGTGGAACACGGTGAATCGCTTGAGTGCCGATATCATCCCGATGTTAGCATGTTGACGAAAAATATAATTTATTTGAGTTGAATACAAGATATGTTAACCGTTAGCCAGGCAGCTACGATCGTATTTTTTATTTCTAACACACTGTACATGTATAACGTGGTGCCACAATGTATGCGTATGCAAACAATGAATAACTTACGATTTTTTAAACGTATCATTTCATCTTATTGGCTGCTATCAAAACCAAACTTTAAATTATATACGATGAGATTTTACACAATACTTCATTACTCGCGTGTGTGAAATAGCTTTATTTAACGCCCGCTTCAGTTAATCTAAATCAGTTGTACCCTCCATAAATAACAGTGCCATATGTCATACATGTAAATCACTCCGCGAGGCTGTTAACCGTTAGTCACGTAGTCATAAACGTGCGAAATCATGGGATGTTGGGTCCGACACGGGGACTATATTCTTAGCAAATTATATTCTTAGCAAATTTTGGCCGTCACCGGTACATGATAATAATGTATTATGACGCATTAAAACAACATGGGTGGGAGGGGGTACACTGCGAAAGTCACAAAAGTGACAGCACCATGTATTTGTCATTTTACAAATTCCGTATACATAGAAAACTTTACATTTACATGCATTCAACGAAGGGATATTCTTACGACAAATGTCCACTGTGACAATATACATCTACTGGGTGCCACTCATTTCATTTCGGTGGAAGCGGATATTAAATAAAGCCATTTCACACAGACGCGTACATTACATACGCATGGCATATATTTATACAATGGCCACACGTGTGTTAATTCTCGCCGTCACCCCGTTATAATTTACTTATTTTGAGTACACTTCTGAATGATTCCATTCCTTTGTACGTTCAACTTCCCGATTTTCTACTGCATATACATGTACATACGTATCAGCAGCTCAAAAGTTATACTAGACGGTGTAAGCGCAAGTTTCGTGATTGAACCTGCATCGATATTGCATAAAAAAATCCATAATCGACAATTAAAGAGATGTTTTGAGAAGCATTTTATTCTTTCCGTTCCATTGTCATGATTTTTATTGAAAATCGAAATTAAGTTAAACATGTAATACAAATGTACAACGTATACAAATCATAATATTTTACAGTCAAAATTTAATAATCATACATTTTATTCTTTTCGTTCCATTGACATGATTTTTATTGAAAATTGAAATTAAGTTAAACATGTAATACAAATGCACAATGTATACAAATCATAATATTTTACAGTCAAAATTTAATAAGCATACATTTCATTCTTTTCGTTCCATTGACATGATTTTTATTGAAAATCGAAATTAAGTTAAACATGTAATACAAATGCACAATGTATACAAATCATAATATTTTACAGTCAAGATTTTAAAATCATACATCAGACTTGCACTAAAAGTGAATTCATTTTTTATTGCAGTTAACAATGTTAATTACATGTAACTACATGTATTTACTCACATAAAGTCTTGGCACTTGGTAAAAATTGTATTCAAATCCATCGCAAACACCTTTTTTTTCTTTTTCTTCTTTTTTTTTACAAAGTAATTGTTTTTTTTCTATTTAAAAAATATTTTGTCTATACACATTAAATTCATTTTCTTCTTAAAAATTCGTTAATTTTTACGACAACGCGCTCTTGCCAGGCATGCTTTTCTTGTACTTCAGGATAATGGTGTAACACATACCTTACGACGAAGGACTTCCGCCGTGGCTCCAGTTCCAGCTTGTTGCATCTACCCCCCCCCCCCCCGGAAATACGAATATTTCCCCCGCAAGTTGTCGGGTCCGGTCAGTTCCGGAAAAAGCCGTTGTACTACCTTTGTTGCGAAATGACCGGCATTAAAAGCATGGAGGTGCATTGCTTTGAGATCTTCTGTAGAAATACGAAATTCCGGTGGGATATCACTGAATTTTGATGTTACAGTTTCAGTCGTTGGCAGTGTCTGTGTGGCGGCCTGGGGACTAGGTGCTTGTGGTATGTGCTGATCTGTTCCCTCGCCCATTTCTTCTCTTCTTCTTCTTCCCTCGCCATGAGGGGGGAGTCTTTGTAGTATCAAAACAACAAGGTTATTCATGTCTTTTAATTCTTTTCGCAGCCCTTTCACTTCTTGCTGTAACTCATGCTGCTTTTTGTTCATTGTCTGCATGTATCTTTCTACTGCCGAAAGTGTTTTCTGCCTGTTCCGATTTGGTGTCCTAAATAGCTCCCTACATATAATTTCACCATCTTGTAAATCGGGCAGCGCCTGCAGGAGGGACTGTTCCTCAGAAGTAGAGGGCGATTCCACATCGCGGGGTACCGTTACACGTACGGGCACTGGTATTCTTGATGATGTCTGGGAGACAGATTCTGGTGTTGAACGCGTCGAACACGAGCTCGAGGATACATTTGACAGTGACAGATCACGTGGGTCACTGGAACTGAAACTGCCTAGCGTCCTTCGGCGGATAACTGTTGAGGCCATTTTCTGAAAAGACAAGAGAATAAAATATATTTATTTTCATTCAACAACACTTCAATATTTTGGGGGTTAAAGAATTTGAATTTTAATATTTACTAATGACATCAGATGAAAAAAAAAGAACATTTACGATAATTAGACACACTTTACATGTTTGACATCGATAACCTATATAGGGGATAGAGGCGGGAGTCCTATTGGAGCCTGTGCCAAAAAAACTTCCATAAGCCACATTATTGTTGGATTCAATTCAGTTGAGTAATTAAAAGTCAAGATACGATTGGTTGAGGCCCAAACAGTTAGCCAAATAAGTTTGAACTGCTTGTCTCAGATGCACTATATAAATCTGTACTACATTGCTATTATGGAAAATGGCTGCGAGTTTTAATTTTAAAATTTAAGATATTTTCCAAAGTACTCGCTTGTTTTCTAAGCTGAACATGAAATTAAGAGACCTGGGTTAATTATTTTACTGATAAGAACTCTAACACTTAGCAGTAACTTTGTGTCTGACCCCAGCCATTTTAATATATTTCTTAATTTGTCACACCCTGGAATAGACACCTTGACCCGAAATGTGACATCTAAACCACCGTATACCATCTCACGGTACCAGTATATTGCTGCAACCATACTTCATCCATTCAAAGTTTGACGGTTCAGTAATTAGTTATATCACTTTTTGGCACACTTGAGTCTTCCTCTTTTTCATGATTTCTGTCCGTTATCTGGGTTTATTTCAAAAATGCACCTGCAAAACAAATATTCTCAATCAGGTTTTTTCTTATGACACCCATTTCAAAAGAACACATTTTAATTAAGGAAAAGGGAGCTAAATGTGCAAGAAAATGTAGTTTTATGTTCACAAACAGAAGACTAAACATATCACACAGGAGAATACTACCAGTGTAGACTGGAATAACCAGACACCAATGACTGCCATTCAATTTGGACACTTTGCATATTTTGCCGAGCATAACGGATTAGAAATTACACTAAAACAGAAACGACTGAATGTAAATCAGTTTATATACATTCAATTTACATTATTGCTTTGCGACATATTTGTGTTCATTTCTAGGTGCCAAAGAATACAGATTTAGCTCCTTTACTTTTAAGTTAGGTTGAACTTCTCTGATCATATTGGTATTCGCTAAAGCAACACCCATCGTTTTATCGTGGGTTAAAACCCACGCTTTCTAATCTTCTCTCGTTACCGCATCTGGGTTTCTGATCAGATTTTTGGACAAACCAGTGGCGACTCTGCACCTATGACAGGTAAAACCAGATTAAAATGGGATTCACTTGTTGCTAATAGGGCCCACCCCAAGGGAGAGAAATGGGGTCATTTTTGGACTATAACATGTAGAATTTTATTTCAGTAATTCACTTTAAACCGTAGGTATTTATAAACAGTGGGAGGAAAACGAAAGACCCAGAAAAAACGAACAAGGTTAGTCCGGCAATTTTACTCCTTTCCACGCCACTTGACTCAAAGACATACATTCTGACCTAACTAAGGCCCATGTTACACCAAGAACCTTATATAATAAGCTCCATGGTTAGACCATTCATCCAACCACCCCCTCAAATTTCAAGGTCCAAGCAGAGGGCAGGAAGTGTTGGTTTTCACTGACAATGTCATTGATGCGCTCAATTCTCAAAATTATTATCTTCAATCTTGTAATTTTTCTTTTAATTTTACCTTTGAAAAAATTTCAGTCACCCAGAGAAAGGCTGGGTAGGCTACTCAATAGATGACAGGAATGGAGATGCAATAAGTTGTGCCTAAAAAAAATTAGTAAAATAAAAAATTAAAGATCTTATTATCCAGACATTGACAATTCCCTCAATATAAATTCTTAATGCTTAATAATAATGATGGTTTTCAGTGGTACTGGTAGGCCTAGTCTATACTAAGATAAAGATGCACAGACATGAAGACCAGGGCCCTTATTCACGAAAACTTAAACTAAGATACAATCAAAATTTTAAGAAATACTGCAATTCGATTGGCTGACCAGTAAAATCAATTTGCATATATCCAATGAAGTTGCAGTATTTCCCAAAATTTCGGTTGTAACTTAGTTTAAGTTTTCGTGAATAAGGGCCCAGAAATGTTAGCCCTTCATATAGTTCATATATTTATTTCTATGAATGAGTTTGAATGGGTTATGTCATCCGAGTAGCCTCAACTAGAACTGAAGCCTTCAAAAACAGTGCTAAAAAATAGCAGTATGTCCATTTGTCAAAAATCAGTTACCCAGTACATTTTTACGAATGTCAAGAATCAATCTGTATCAAACAAAGATGTGTGCCTACTATATAATCATTACTTACCTAAAACTGTAATGTTGGGTATTGACTGTAGTGTTCAACCATAGAACTATACCATCTATGGTTCAACTATTGTGCTCGATGCAGAGCCAGCAGTGGGATTCCTCTTTGCCTCTAACTAACGGTATTCGCAGTAATGGCGCCCAGGAAGACCGATGACGTCACTCTAATTTAAGCACCCGTATGTCATATTTACGGGAAAAATTTCGAATTCTCAAATATTTACAGACTTGAATCTGTTATCAGGATAACAGAACTGCGCTGTATGCGTTTTACAGAAACAATAAAATTGTAAAAATTACAGAAAAGGCTTACAGTGTACGCGGTCCCTTGCCAGGGCTTTCCTCCTACTCCACTGAAGTGAAGTAAGACTAAGAGTGCAAACGTCCCACTCACTGACCCACCGTAGCTCCTACTTCATTTAGATTCCGGACATGGTAGCTCGGTTCATTGTCTCTTGCCAGACGCTTCGTCCTACGCCACTGACAAGGGTGGACATAGCCAGAAAAATCACGATAAACTTTGATGAAGTTAGAGGGCAAACGTGCTACTCACTGAGCCACCGTAGCCCTCACTTCATTCGATTTCGGACAAGGAATCTCGTTTTTTATTTATACCAATCGAACGACTATACCACTGACAAGCCGGAACCAAGACCGAAAAATGAGAACTTTGATGAAGTAAGAGAGCAAACGTCCTACTCACTGAGTCATCGTAGCTCACACTTCATTTAGATTCCGGACACGGGATCTCGGTTATTTGTATTCCCGAACGCTATACGTTGTCCCTTCTCAGGCCCTCCGTCCTAGGGTGGACATCGCCAGAAAAATCACGACGAACTTTGATGAAGTTAGAGGCCAAACATCCTACTCACTGGGCCACCGTAGAACCAACTTCATATTGATTACAGGCACGGGACCTCGTGTTTTTAATCCCATTCGAACGACTATGCGTTGTCCCTTGTCAGACTCTACATTCTACAACACTGACAAGACCACGCATCAAAAAACCCGATGAAGGTTGATGAAGTTAGAGGGCAACGAAAGATTCGACCGAAGCCTTTTAAAATCGATTACAGAATACAATATTATCTGTGCAAGAAGAGATTAAAATGGTTTAGGACTATTAAATTTTCTAGACCTTCATACATTTCCAAATATAAATGCTGATACGGTAGTCAGTGGACATGCGTATAAACTGCACTTCCTAGGCGAGAAGTCGAGATTGTGACGAAGCGAGGGAGCGAGACCACGAGAAGACGAGATTAGCCCAAAGGCGAGGGAGCGAGAACACAAGGTTTTTCAAAGGCAAGAAGACGAGGGCGAGAAGTCGAGGGCGAGAGTGCGAGAACACAAGGTTTTTCAAAGGCGAGAACACGAGGGAGCGAGAAGTCGAGGGACGAGAACATGAGAAGTCGAGGTGAAAGTAATCTCGTGTTCTCGGGGCGAGATCCTCGTATTCTCGCCCTATTTTCTCGTCTTCTCGTGTTCTCGCCCTCGACTTCTCGCGGAGAGAAGACGAGATTCTGAAATGGCCGCAATAGGCTTCCATAGTTCACCATGAATCCCGACTGTTCAAAATTCAGTCGGCAAACCTCGACAGATTCTAGAGTACCGGAAATTTTCCGAGGTTTGCCGAGTGTTCATAATTTTGCTCTCTAACGGCAAAGGTAAATATGTTAGCATAATGAAAACAACAGACAAGTAGGGGTCTAATCTTGGTTCGAATAATTTGATCACATTTCTTAGCTATCTATCATAATTATCGATATGAAAGTTTCACAGGTGATAAACTGTAGTTTTTCGTCATGGTATCCGGCATTTCATGATATTAGTATACCAAGGTAAGACAGTTCAATGTAGACCAAATGACGAGCTGATAGTGATTTTGCATCTCTACCTACTGCCACTGGCTCTACCTGTGGCTGTTCCCCCCTTAGCAAAAAGTCCTACAGAATAGCAGTGTAGAATTCTATAGAAAATCTATAGAGTTTTTTGGGGGGCGTGTCCCATGTTCTATAGGATAAAATTCTATAGTATTCTACAGAATTTTGGGGGCCTGTAGGAAATAACGGCCCCAAATATTCTACAGATTCTATAGTCCTACAGATTTATGGGAAAATTTCTATAGGAAAATAATATAGTATTCTATAGGTTTTTTATTGCACTTTCTGTAGGAAATTCTACAGTTATGTATAGGAATGAATACTGTAGTATTCTGTAATTTGGAAATTGGGCCACTATAGTTTTCTGTAGGAATGGGTACTATAGAATTCTATAGACTTTTTTTTATTAAATCTTATTTTGGGAATAAATATAGTTGGCCCATGATTTCTTCTAAATTGATAAGCTTATTTTTCTCTCATGGATTCTTCTAAATCGATAAGCTCATTTTTTCTCCCATGGATTAATCTGAATTCTGTTGATGATTCACCAGCCGGAACCATGAAAAGTTCTTTTCTTGGTAAAACTGAAATATAGGGAAAAGAATAGGTAATAAAGTTAAATAAATAACAAAATCACATAAATCTTATCTAATTAAAGTAATTTAATATTATTGTTAAGAAAGTAATAAAGTATACTTATCTTTCTATCTTTAATCGACTCTGTGAAAAAACACCACCATTCTCTTCAGTTTCTTGTTAATACTAAAGTTGTTATACACTGAATTTTTGAATTTTAAATTCAGCCAATGGCCAAACAGATTTCAAGAGAGTACATTGGCTGTTAATTATAATTTGTCGACAGGTATTCACGGTTGACAGAATCTGAGTACAGAATCTGCTATAGTCATTAAAATCTAAATAAACTGTGTCTTTATTTCATTGACTTCTGAAGAATAATTTATTATCTGATATTTTTGTTGTGAACATCTACATTTACTGGCATTTTTTGGAGGGTGGGGTGGGGAATTCCTTTGAGTGTCAAAATGTATCACTATTTCATTCATATTATATACACTATTTTATACTTTATATTTTATTTTTCGTGGTAAGCTTATTTTAGTTTGTCATTTGGTATCACAATAAATTAAGGAAAACTGCATCCAGGAAAATTATGTTGGAAAAGTTTACATTATTCACACAAGTAAATCACTAAATTCTATTGTAAACTATAGTATGAATAAAAGACATCGCCAATTTATGAAATCTGTAGTATAGAACATTGATTCTACAATATTATGTAGGAAACTATAGTAGGCTATTTGTTAAAATGGTTTAAGTACAGTATACATATAAATTCTTAGTTTTCAACAGAATGTCATAGACAACTATAGGAATAATCCTTGTAAGACATATAGAGGTAGATTTCACAAATTAAAAACACTTATATGGATATACTACTTCTGAATTTTTTAACATGCTACGTTTCAATACACATACAGATATCGTTATCAAGCAAATAATGATATATAACAAAAATGTGGTGCAATATATAGTTAACAAATTGGAAACCATGTAACAGATTAATCATTAATTAAGAATAAATAAGGTGAGAGAAGTAATATTATGGATAAACAATTACAAAGGGATTAACAAGATGAAAGACTGTAATGTATTGATAACAATTAGAAATATTAGCAGATCAAACTAATAATTATAAGAGATTAACTATATGAGAGATAGGAATATATAGATAACAATTAATACACTAATTAGCAGGTGAAACCATATCTACAAGATGAGGGGGTTAACCACACAGGCAAGAAATCGAAAACTAGGGGAAGGAAACCATAATGTATTGATAACATTTAGAAATTAGCAGATAAAACTAATAATTATACGAGATTATTGGGATACAGATGGCAATATATAGATACATGCAACAAATAAACACTAATATAGCAGGTGAAACCATAATTACGAGATGAAAATGGTTAACCGTACAGGCAAGAAATTGAAAACTTCACATTAATAGGAATTAAATAAATCGACCCAAAGATTTGGGAGAAAATGTCCTGAGTCCCTATTTAATTTAGGCTTATGTTTTTGAATTTCTAGCGCTTCTCGTAGAATTCTATTTTTCCAAGTTGGTAAATTTTTTTAGCTAGTATTTCTGTATTCTCCCATTTGATATTATGCTTAGGATTTTGGTAGATGTGTTCTGCTATTGCTGATTTATTATATTCTTGTTTTGTAACTGCCGTGTGATGCTCTTTTGTTCTCACTGAAATCGGTCGGGAAGTTTCTCCAATGTACGCCAAATCGCACTCACAATTTATTTTATATACGACACCCTTTGGATCATCTCTTGGTTTTAGTATCCTACCATCAGCTTTTAACATAGTCTTGAGTGTGGTTCGGCTGCTGAATACTACCTCTGCGCCGATTTGCTCCATTAAAATTCTTTTAATATGGTAGTAGTAGTAGTAGTTCTTGGTGTTTAATGTCTGCTTCCACATAAGTGATATCGCAGACAAGACATAGGAGAGCCGAAGCTGATTCCTGTTTTTAGAATATGATTTTGCAATCTTTCCAATTGGCATTAGGCCATGGATTTGGTTTAGTGGGAAGTTCTTCCCTTTATTTAATATAAAACATATCGTTTGGTGGATGATTTCGTCTGCTTCTGGATTGGTAGATGTCATCGTTTGGGGTTAGTGTTTAGGTGCCAGGCCCGTCTTGTCGTGGCCTCCCCTTACTCCACTATCCCACTCTTTGGGCTTGGTATCAGTTTTATTTGCAGAATAGTGTTTAGGTGCAGAGTTCGTCTGATCGTAACTCCCCCTTACTCCACTATCCTGCTAGTTTGGTAGATGTCATCTTTGAGGGGTTTGTGTTTAGGTGCCAGGCCCGTCTTATCGTGACCTCCCCTTACTCCACTATCCCACTCTGTAGGTTTGGTGTCTGTTTTTGGCGGAATAGTGTTTAGATGCCGAGTCCGTCTGGTCGTGACTCCCCCTTACTCCACTATCCTGCCAGTGTGGTATAAATCCCCTATGTAGTTTAGTGTTTAGATGCCGAGCCCGTCTAGCCGTGACCCCCTCTTACTTCACTATTCTACTTAGTCCAACTGTGTCCATTAGGGCGTGGATTTGTTTGAAGATTTGCAGTTTCAAATCTGGTCTCGGGAAGAGTAGATTCTTAGTGTTGAATGGTATGTTGTTAGTCTCCATTGTTCTCACTAGGTCCATTCTCTCCTCCTTGTATACCTCGCAGTCTACCAGGACATGGTTGGTGGTACATTCTTCTCCGCACTCACAGATGATGACTTGGTGTTTGTAGTCTCGCAGCCGCTCTTTCACCCTTAGCTTCGATATAAGTCTACATATATCTCTTCTAGGGTGATTGAGTGTTGTCTTTGTATAGATCTTGTCATCCAGCCGGAATCTGTATGTGTCAAGTTCAATGAGATTTAATTCCCAGATTGAATTGACCTGTCTTTTGACCATACTGTAGATTTCCGTGGTGCTGTAGTCTATGGTGCGGAGTGGTGCTGTGTCCTTGAGACCTTCATTGGCTAGTCGATCTGCCTCCTCGTTTCCTCTAATGTTGACATGTGATGGAATCCACACGAGTTCTAATTTGCTTCCCTTCTCTAAAACCCTCTGGTACAGCTGCCTGATTTCCAAAATGACTTTTGGTCTTGAGTCCGAGTTGTCATTTTGGATTGAAATCAGACTGCTCAGAGAGTCGCTTGGAATGACGAACTTACTAGTCTTTTGATGGGAAATCCATGATATAGCGTCACGAATGGCCACAAGTTCTGCAGTGTACACCGAACAGTTATTGGGCAGTTTCCTGCTTATTCCCTGTTCCCCGTTTCCAGGTGTTCTAGAGAAAAAGCACGTGCTGCAGTGGGGTTGTTTTTCTTGTCGGTTTTCTGTAGTAGATCTAGATTAACCGGCGGTATAGGGAGCGTCCAAGGGGCGATCGCTGGGGGGTCGTGTTCATTTATCACGAGCTCCCCCAGTCGCAGTTCCTTGATTGTTTCCCTGATACCCTGGCCGAAGCTTTTCTTTCTAGGATCTCTCACATATCTTGTTTTTTGTAGACTGACAAAGGTTGGGGATCTTTCGCCCAGTTGCGAGATCTTAGCCCAGTACCTTGTCTCTAGTTCTTTTCTTCTTAGGGATAGGGGCAACTCCCCGACTTCCTGCAGTAGTGCCTCTCTCCCAGTCCCTTGCCCTACGCCAGTCGCAATACACAGAGCTTTGTATTGGATGGTGTCAAGCTTCCTTAAGAGTAATGGCGCGCAGTTCATGAAGGCCAGAGAGCCGTAGTCTAATACAGATCGTATTAGAGCACGATACACCATCATTAGTGTTACTCTGTTGGACCCCCAAGTACTGCCCGTTATTTTTCTCATTAAGTTTAGGATTTTGGTGCATCTATCTACAGTCTCGTCGATGTGCGGTTTCCAGGTCAGCCTTCGGTCAAAGATTACGCCAAGGAACTTGGTTTGGTCTTTAAACTCGATGGTTTTCCCGTTCATACACAGAGTCATTCTGCTTATCCCTCTATCCCTGCTTACAAGCATGCTGACTGTTTTCATCTCCGAGACCTTGAATCCCCAATCGTTTGCCCATGCCATGAATTTGTCTAAGGCCTTCTGCATGTTCTTTTGTAGTTCACAGAAGTTCCTCCCTTTCCTCCATATGGTACTGTCATCAGCAAATTTAGCTAACTCAGTTTTGGCGTCGAGGTAGGAAGATTTCTGTATGTCGTTGATCATGATATTGAAGAGAGTGGGACTGATAACCGACCCCTGAGGCGTGCCATTTTCTAATGTTTGCCCGGCACTCAGGAATCTGCCAACATTCACCTGTATCCTTCTATCGCTCAGAAAGCTTTTGATCCACCGAAACATTATGCCCGTTATACCAATACGTCCTAACTTGAAT